TCTCGTCCGATCACTGAAAGTAAGCAACGTCGGGCTCGGTTAGTACTTGGATGGGTGACCGCCTGGGAACACCGAGTGCTGTAGACTCCTTTTTGCTGGTATTTCCCCTTGATTTGCGAGAAAGACCCGTCAGAAAAATTCCTATATAATGTCTACGGCCATACCACGTTGAAAGCACCAGTTCTCGTCCGATCACTGGTTAGTATTTGGATGGGTGACCGCCTGGGAACACCGAGTGCTGTAGACTCCTTTTTGCTGGTATTTCCCCTTGATTTGCGAGAAAGACCCGCCAGAAAAATTCCTATATAATGTCTACGGCCATACCACGTTGAAAGCACCAGTTCTCGTCCGATCACTGAAGTTAAGCAACGTCGGGCTCGGTTAGTACTTGGATGGGTGACCGCCTGGGAACACCGAGTGCTGTAGACTCCTTTTTGCTGGTATTTCCCCTTGATTTGCGAGAAAAACCCACCAGAAAAATTCCTATATAATGTCTACGGCCATACCACGTTGAAAGCACCAGTTCTCGTCCGATCACTGAAGTTAAGCAACGTCGGGCTCGGTTAGTACTTGGATGGGTGACCGCCTGGGAACACCGAGTGCTGTAGACTCCTTTTTGCTGGTATTTCCCCTTGATTTGCGAGAAAGACCCGCCAGAAAAATTCCTATATAATGTCTACGGCCATACCACGTTGAAAGCACCAGTTCTCGTCCGATCACTGAAGTTAAGCAACGTCGGGCTCGGTTAGTACTTGGATGGGTGACCGCCTGGGAACACCGAGTGCTGTAGACTCCTTTTTGCTGGTATTTCCCCTTGATTTGCGAGAAAGACCCGTCAGAAAAATTCCTATATAATGTCTACGGCCATACCACGTTGAAAGCACCAGTTCTCGTCCGATCACTGGTTAGTACTTGGATGGGTGACCGCCTGGGATCACCGAGTGCTGTAGACTCCTTTTTGCTGGTATTTCCCCGTGATTTGCGAGAAAGACCCGCCAAAAAAATTCCTATGTAATGTCTACGGCCATACCACGTTGAAAGCACCAGTTCTCGTCCGATCACTGAAGTTAAGCAACGTCGGGCTCGGTTAGTACTTGGATGGGTGACCGCCTGGGAACACCGAGTGCTGTAGACTCCTTTTTGCTGGTATTTCCCCTTGATTTGCGAGAAAGACCCGCCAGAAAAATTCCTATATAATGTCTACGGCCATACCACGTTGAAAGCACCAGTTCTCGTCCGATCACTGAAGTTAAGCAACGTCGGGCTCGGTTAGTACTTGGATGGGTGACCGCCTGGGAACACCGAGTGCTGTAGACTCCTTTTTGCTGGTATTTCCCCTTGATTTGCGAGAAAGACCCGCCAGAAAAATTCCTATATAATGTCTACTGCCATACCACGTTGAAAGCACCAGTTCTCGTCCGATCACTGAAGTTAAGCAACGTCGGGCTCGGTTAGTACTTGGATGGGTGACCGCCTGGGAACACCGAGTGCTGTAGACTCCTTTTTGCTGGTATTTCCCCTTGATTTGCGAGAAAGACCCGTCAGAAAAATTCCTATATAATGTCTACTGCCATACCACGTTGAAAGCACCAGTTCTCGTCCGATCACTGGTTAGTACTTGGATGGGTGACCGCCTGGGAACACCGAGTGCTGTAGACTCCTTTTTGCTGGTATTTCCCCTTGATTTGAGAGAAAGACCCGTCAGAAAAATTCCTATATAATGTCTACGGCCATACCACGTTGAAAGCACCAGTTCTCGTCCGATCACTGGTTAGTACTTGGATTGGTGACCGCCTGGGAACACCGAGTGCTGTAGACTCCTTTTTGCTGGTATTTCCCCTTGATTTGCGAGAAAGACCCGCCAGAAAAATTCCTATATAATGTCTACGTCCATACCA